TGCACCTCTGGCCCGTACCCCAGTTCTGTATGCATAAGTAAATAAATCTTTAAAAAAAGAAAAGAAAACCTGGACTTACAGAGATATATAGTTGGAAAAGAAAGGAATATTTAACATCCTTTTCAATAATTACTTAAAAGCCATGGAGCTCCAGGAGAAAAATACATAATATACTCATAAAAATGAAAGTTTTACGATTATTGTGAAAATCATTTTGACCCATAGACTACACTTTGAGAATGACTGGGTTACAGTCCATAGCCATGGTCTGTGTGATCCATGTGAAGCTTAAAAATAAGAATTAGACCAGTATTTGAAAATCAGGAGAGTTCACAAAAATCCAAATTCTTTTAAAATTTAGAAGGTCTGGACCTCCTTGTTAGTGCAGAAGTTAAAGTCACGGCTCTGTGAAGCTGTCTGTAGCCACTGCAGCATGAGTTTGATCCCCAGCCAGGGAGCTGACCCATATGGTGCAGCGGACCTCTCCTGACCCACCTGCTGCTCCCTTCAGCAGTGTATTTCAGTCAGTCTCAGTGTTCTGCTCCCCACTCTGTCTCTGGTGAATTCTCTCACCCCTGCACCTCTAGTCTAGACCTAGCTCTTGTATGCATAAGTAAATAAAATCTTAAAAAAAAATTAGAAGGTCTGATAGCCAGATTGACTTCCAACATGGTAACAACCAGCCACAGCTGGGGTACACCTCCCCGCTTTCCACAGGCCTATGTCCTGAGTCCCTCAGTGCCATTCTTCCTTCATTTCTCATATGTCCATGTCATAGCTCATCAGCCCCTGGAAGTGTTTGAGGTCCAACTCCTGAGCTCAAGGAGTTTTGTTCTTTTTAGATTGGAGTCTCTCCCCCTCCACTCTGATAAGGTAAAAGCGGGAGATCCACTCTGTGGAATGCACTGGAAGACTCAGCTAGAAATTTATTTGCTCATGTAACAAGAAGTTTAAAAGTAGCAGGGGCTGGCAGTTGATGTATTGACTCTGGATATCAGTGCCAACAGCTCTCTTGGGCTCTCAACTTGTGGTCACAAAGTGACTGCTGATGCTCCAGCCATCACAGTCATCATTTGACATCAAGCATTTAAAATATCCCGCTACATGAACTCTCTTGGATGAATATTTTGTGTAATTTTTAATTAAATAAGTGTTATATTGTCCTTTAAAAAACTTGTTAAATATTCTAGGTAAGACCAGATCCTCTTGACTGACCTGTCCCCAAATTCTAGTGCCTCTTGGGCACCTCATTGTTTGGCCTCAGCACAGGTGCTGTTTTATTAGTCAGTGACCTCCCTGGGGTGGCAAATTACTGCAGTGTGGGAGGAGGGCCAGAGCTGACTGCTCTGCTCTTGCCTTTTGACCTCTCCCCCTTCCAGGAGCCTAAATGAACTTCGAGTGTTGCTTCTGGAGGCCAATCGCCACTCCCCAGGGCCTGAAAGGGACCTGGGCCGAGAGGTCCACAAGGCTGAGTGGCGGATCAAGGAGCAGAAACTCAAGGATGACATCCGGGGCCTTCGCGAAAAGCTGACCGGACTGGTAGGTGGGGGAGGCGGGTGTCCATGAGGTGGGGAAACTAGGGTGGGACAGGGCTGTCCTGTTCCCAGGCATGAAAACTAGTGACTCTTGGCGCCACCCCAGGGACAGCCAAGCCACAGGGAGGGTTCAAATCCCCTAGCTCTACAGGCAGGCCAGCAGCATAGCTGGGGAGAGGACATGGCAGCCCCCTCTGCAGACATGATGACTGCCTGGCTGCTGGGTAATTCAGCACGCAGGAAACCTCCCCCAAATCTGGTAATCTGGGAGTGGTGAGCTCCACTCCCTTCCAGAGAAGTGATCAGCTGGCTCCTTGCTTAGAGTTCCACAGCGGGGACTGAGTCAGGAAGAGGAGTGTGTGCTCTAGCCTATGTCCCCTTAAGCTGTCTCTGCAGGGAAGGACTTAGTGACTAAAAGCTCCCTGAAGTGTGGGAAGTTTAGGTGAAGGTCAGCGTGGAGCATAAGGGCCTGGTAGCCACCAGTCAGGGCCAGTGCAGAGTGGGCTTGTGGGGACCAGCTGAGCATCCACCAGGCTGGTCAGCATCTCAGGCCCCAAGGTGGTGGAAGCAGTTGGGGAGGGCTTGGGAGCCAAATCCCATTTGGGAGGGAGGAGGAGCATCCTGGGAGGTTCTGAGGAGGGTGTCATTGGGGCTCGAGGGTAGGAGTCGTGGATGTTGTGGGTCTGGGAGTGAAGAGGTGAGACCCATATAAGACAGTGTGTGGTGGAGGTTGGGGGGAAAAGAAGGGAGGACTCCTGGGTATGGGGCTCAGAGAGCCCAAAAGTGTCCTTCAGAGCCTGGAAATTCAGGGCCGGTGACAGCGACGGCGCTTCAGTGGTAAAGCAGGAAAGAGTCCTACCCAGAGATGAGGTGGAGCCAGAGGGCCTCTTGCCACCCCCGCCCACGCCCGGCACTGGAGCAGGCACAGGCGCACACGTGCGTTACACACCTTCCTCTCTGCTTCCAGGACAAGGAGAAGGCCCTGTCGGATCAGAGGCGCTACTCCCTCATCGACCCATCCTCGGCGCCTGAGCTCCTGCGGCTGCAGCACCAGCTGATGAGCACAGAGGATGCACTGCGGGATGCACTGGACCAGGCTCAGCAGGTGGAGAAGCTCATGGAGGCCATGAGGTGCCACCCCGACAAGTCCCAGGTGAGCGGTGGGCCCGGGAGCCCTGGTCTGAGGGGAGCCGCTCAGCTCTGCCCTCTCGGCGTCCCAGCCCAAGGGGCTCATGGCTCCACTCTGACGAGTTGACAACTAAAAGTGGAAGATTCAGCCTTGTCCTGATAGCCTTGGTCTCCTGGAGTCCTGGACCCCCCAACCTAAAGAGCTCTGGTCAGGACCTGGAGCCTGAGGTCCCCTCCGGAAGACCTCGCCCCCTAGTGGACGAGCCAGGAACTGCTGCCTGTTGAGCCTGGCTCAGCAAATGCCCTTGACTGTCTTACAGGCCATTGGCAATTCCGGTTCTGCGAATGGCATCCACCAGCAAGACAAAGCCCACAAACAAGAGGTAAGGGGCACCCTGGCCCCAGGGAGATACCCTGCCACTCCCACCGCCCGCCTATACAGGCAGACCTGCCTGGAGAAAAAACCCTGAAAAGCCACCAAAAACACAAGAGGCTTGTGCAAGAGGCTTGGCAATCGCGTCGCTCAGAGTAGGGTCCCTGCAAGTCAAACTGGATTCAAACCCATCCTGCTTATTTTAGTCTTGTTTCCCTGAAAGCCTTTTTTCTTATAATACATGCCTGTTGGGAAACTTCTAGAAGCAAACTGAAAATAGATAAAGAAGAAAATGCTCACCAGTAGATAGCCCTCCGCCACCGACACCCAGTCAGCGCTGTCCCCCGAGCTGTCCTGACCGCGTGTGTGTCTAAGCGTGATGTGTACCTGTGTCCTGTCAGTCCTCCTCATTTGCAGATGCCATGTTTGTACACCTGCCGACTGGCTAACATTTACCTGTAAACCCCAAACCAGCAATTTTGTGGTCATTCCTGGACACAGGCAGAGCAGGATAAGACCTGAGCCAGCCCAACCCCCTTGTCAGGCGACACTGTCCCTGCCTTCGCTGGCCCGGCAGGAGCTGTCCCTGCTTCCAGCCGTGTTTGTCAGTTTTCTCTTTCTTCTGGGCTATTTTCTCCTCTTTAAAATGACCCCAACCGTAGTGCTGACTGCTGTCTAGCATCGCCGGGTGCCGACTGAGAAAATAGGTGTCAAATAAACTTGCTTCAGGCACGAGTTATGGTGCTGCTGGCCTTGAGTTCATTGCTAACGAGTCAACCGTGTCTCCGCTGGCATCGCACGTGAATCACAGTCGTGTACCGATCGTCTGAGGGACCTGTCATGGTCAGAGGTGGGGGGCTGGCTGTGTCCCCAGGAGCCAGTGGCTCAGTATTTACCACTTCACTGTTGGGGTGACTTTAGAAAACATAACCATGGTAAAGAAGAGAGGCGAGTTGTTTTTTGTGCAGGCATATATATCTAGACGTGAACGTTTTATTTGGAAATAATGTCAAACTTATAAAAAAGTTGCAGCAATCACAGCGGTAGCTAGGACCCCGCTGGCCCTCGACCCCCAAGACGCTGCCACTGCTCTGCCTGGGGCGTGGGCCTTGCGCTGTCCACACTCATCGCCACTTTTTTCTGAACTGTCTTGGCGTAGCTGCGTGTCACCACCCTCGTTCCGGCAAAGAGGATGTGGCTCCGCGTGGCACAGTGGCTGAGCCTCAGCCCTGGTGACGCAGCATCCGTGAGCACGCCTCACTCCGGGCTGGTTTTGCTCAGGCCGAGAGGATCTCCCAGGCTCTTCCCCTCAGCATGGGATCAGTCTAAGCTTGAGCCAGGTCATCACTTCTTGTTATGTTTCTTCAGTCTCCTTTCACCTGGATTTCCTCAACCTCCCTGATGAACGTGCATTGAAGTTTTGACAGATGGCCCGTCCATTTCTTCAGTGGAAGACTCCTCATTTGGGCATTGTCTGAGGGGCCCTGTGGCTGGGGGCTGGTCGTTCCCCCGGCCGTGGTCTTTGTCCATGTCATGTCCCCCTCCAGCCCTGTCGCCCACCTGCATCCCCGTGTGGGTGGGTCGCCTGTCCAAGTCTCGTCTACTGTGTCCACTCTCGGGGTATGAGCTTTCCTGACAAGCCCTCTGTGGGGAGGCCTTAGGACTGTTCTTAGCCAAACTCCCGCTTGGACTTAGCCTCTGTGGACGGCCTGGCCTGAGCCAGTCTTTGCTGGAACCATTGCAAAGGTGCGGGTGTATCATTTAATAGAGTAGGTAGCACACCGTGTTCGATTTTCCCTCCTGGCTTCTCTCTGAATCTTTTATAAAATATAAACATTTTCTGTCTTCCTGCAGCTCTCTCTAAATTGTGATTGTAAAATGGGTTTTGTAGAACTTCATGGACTGAGGAGTGTCTGTGACTCCTAGGCTTGGCATGTTTTTGCCTGTTTTAAGCGGGTACCTGGTGGCCTTTACCCCACAGATAACCCCTGGCTGTCACCCACAATGTTCCAAGCACCCACTTGGGTCCTGGGTGCCAGCTTGATTGGATGGGAAGAGCCCGGCACCTCCTCTGTCCTTGCCTCACTGTGTGTCCTTGGGCAAGTGAGAGGGGGCAGAGGAAGGGGTTCTGCTGCATGGTCCCCAACGCAGGCACTCACCTTGGGGCAGAATGCGCCAGGAGCCAGGCCCTGTGCGCAAGGAGCAGTGAGAGATGGGCGGGAGCGAGACCGTGTGCAGGGCCTCTGCCCAGCGGCTCTTCGAGGTGCGAGGGCTCAGCCAGCTCACTGAGGCCCGGGCTCGGCTCAGCTTCCGCCGCAGACCTGGCCTGCACGCAGGTCATCGGTGCGTCCTGTGCCCCTCCTGGTCTCCCCCCTTGCCCTCCACTCCCACCAAGAGCTGTGAGACACGGGAAAGAGGCCTCCTGTCTGCACACGCTGTTCCCTTTGCATGGCCTTGGTGGGCTCTTCTCCCACAGCCCACCCCACCTTACCCCCTTTCCTGCCTGACCCCCCCTCTTCTGCTTGTCCCTCAAGGCTCCTGGAGACACTTGCTGATCAAGCCCTTGCTCTCTCCAGGACAAGCACTGACCCTGAGGGACACCAAGGAGCGGCCCACTCCACACCAGAGCCCCTCCAGCCTGCCCCGGCGGCGCCCCCTCCAGGCAGGGGCCAGAACTGTCACTTTGGAGACAAGAACAGTGTTTGTAACAATAATGTGCCCACCGCCGCGGACAATCCCTCGCCCCGACCCCCCTGCCGGACCAGGAGGCTTCCTCAAGCACGACCTTCCGGAGAGCGGTACAGCCCAGCCTGGCCCCTGGGACCTTCAACCTGGACGCCCCAGATGCCCAGCAGTTTCCAGAGTTTGAGGAGGCAGAGGCCATCGGCTGGGCCCCTCTTACCCAGAAGGAGCTGCCTGAGGACCATCTTGGCACCCTGGGCACACCCCTGTCCTCCCTTTCTGTCCTCTTTCCAGTCTTTCCAGGGGTCCCCCTCAAGCCCCAGAGAGCCATTGTCCTGGGAAGGAACTGGAGGAGGCCCCACTTCTCCTTGCAGGCACCAAGGAGGGAAGCCCACTCCTCAGAGGCCAGGGGATCCTCTTTTCTTCAGCCACTTCAGGCTTCCCCAGGGCTTCTAGTCCCCACTTTACCGAGCCCTCCTCTTCAGAGAGTGATTCAGGTTGTCCTCAGCCCATCTGCCCAGTGAGGCCCCAGGTTCAAGATGTTGGGGGCAAGGTCCTTACCCCACCCCAATACCAAAACACACTTTAAACTCCAAGCTGCTGGCCAGATGGTGGATATCAAGGTCAGGAGATAACAGTATTAGGAAGGTTTGGAAACCCCTCTCCTCACCCCCACCATGGACCTGGCTTGGAGCTGGCAAGGACTGGCCATCCCAGGGGGCATAACATGGCAACCCCTTGGGTTGACTAGATCTTCCAGACCTGGGCCACCCACCTGTATATGCCTCACGCTGACCTGTATACCCACTGACCCCTGCACACACTCGGGGTCGAGGCAGGGGTTTGCCATCAGCCACTATCAGGCCACAATGATGCAAGACGTGAGCCTCACGTGAGGGACCAGGTCCTCACTCAGCACGAAAACGCCTACCCAGCTGTGCATGGGCACCCAGGGACACGTGGGGGACGCAGAGATGTGTGCGCCTGCCCCTCCTCAGAAGGTGCGGGCCCACCAGCCCTCCCTCTCCCTCGACTCCTGTGGGCCGCTCCAGACTAGCGTGGGTCCAGAAGGCCAGTGCTGACCTGGCAGCCCCACCCCTAAAGCTGGAGAGCCCGCAGGCCATGCCTTGTGCCTCAGCGTCACCGTAGGGGCCTGCCCCTCCCCCAGCTCAGGGAAAGATTTCAGTGGGGCTGCCCCCTGCCCGCGGCTGGGATGGGAGCCTGAGGCCCCGTCACGGCCTGCCCGCAGTGCAGTGCGCCCACAGATATGCAGCCTGTGCTCTGAGCAGAGCCCACGTCCCCTCCGGGTGCTGCAGGCACACCAGGGTGCGCCCGTTCTTGCCCAAACAGCCGCTGAGGCGGCCCCTCCCCTCTGTTGGCTTTTGGTAGCTCGCATGCGGTTTTATTCAGTCTAGAAGCGATGCTTTAGTGGCCTAACCCAGAGTCAGATACTAGTCTTTCCAGCAAAACCAGGCAGCTCACCCCCCCAGGAGGCCTTGACCAGTCTACTAACAGCCAAAGGCTCACCGGAGGGGCTGAACCCCAGGTGGGCTCGCAGGTGTGGAAGTATTTTCGCCAAGAGCATCTCCACCTCCACCTGCCCCGTGTGGGCTCAGCCATGCGCCCCCAGGTCCCACCCACGCCACCCCTCCCACCCCAGTGGAATTGTTGAAGTGTGGACAGTCCGTGCTCGAGATAATAAAGCTTGTGACTGAGGTCCAAGACCCCCCTCCCCCACTCCAGTTGTCTATTTCTGTGGGTGCCCTCGGCTTCTTCAGCCATGTTCCCCATGGGCTGCCAGCTAATTCCCACTCAAATGTGAATGGCTGACCAGAGCTCAGGGCTTGGCATTAAAGTCCTGGGGCTGGGACCCCCGAGGAGAGGAGAGCTCAGCAGGAACAGGCAGGGGATCTGAGCCGGACTGTGGTGAGCCAGTGACCACAGCTGCCCGGGGGGGTGGGACTTGGACTTGAGCCTGTCGGAGGTATAAGCAGGCCCACGAGGAATGAGCTGGAAAATCTCCCTGATGTACGAGATAGCGGCAGACCAGCTGACTGCTCAAGGAGCTGTTGCGAACACTCGCACCCTGCGGGTAGCCCTGTCTGCTGCAGCAAGCTTTCTGCACAGGAATGACCAGTCAACATTTTGCAAATTTTGTGGTCATTTTGCAGGCTTTGCCTTTGATCTTCCTGCTTGGAACCTGAGCAAGTTTCTCAAGTTAACCGCTGAATGTGTCAGAAGTGTTGGCCCTGCCTGAGGGCTGTGTCAGCAGAATCCTGCACATGATGCAGGACCGCCCAGGGGGCGAGTGCTCAGGGGCGGGTGGGCTGAGGGCGCCCACAGGGGCTTGGGGGCCAAGGAACTGAGCCCGGGACTGGACGACAGCAGCAGCTGTGGAGGGCCCACCCCTGCTGCCCCTCCTGTTGGACTGAGCCAGAGCCGAAGCCAGGGGGAGTGGGAGGACAGGGTGTGTGAGCCTGGTGGGAGCAGCGGCCACAGGCACTGCGCAGCCTCCAGCCCAAGGTGGGTCGACTTCAACGGTACCACGTTCTCTGGGCCTCTGGGGCCTCCAGTAGAGCAGGCCTCTGTCCTCCCAGAACTGACAGGCCCAGCATTTTGAAATTCAAAGAACCTATACAGACAAGTTTGTTTTTTTTTTCACTTTGCCCAAGGCACTGGGTTTTTCAGTCACCCCACTCGGTGATGACAAAGGAGACTAAATGCACTGCACCCCCAGAAATTCAGTGCTCATCCAGGGTAGCGGGCACTGCACTCCAAGATTTGAGTCAGGGTAGAGCTAGAGCACCCACTCATGGGTTCCAGGTCGGCAGTGGGGATAACCCCTTGTTAGCTGCTCTAAAGAAGAGGTACTGGAGATGGAGGGAGCAGGCAGGGACTGTCCAGTGGAGAGGGGAGGCCTGGGGGGCAAGGCTGGACCGCAGGGCTTACTGTCACCAGGGCTGAGGCGCAGAGCACCTGAGGCTGGGTACAGAGGCCTTCAGCTCCCAGGCAGCAACCTAAGCCCCGTGTGCCGTGGCCTGGCGCCGGAAGTGCAGAGTGGAAGCAGTCCCCGGACGAGGAGGAGGTAGGAGAGCCTGCTCCATGGCCCTGCCTTCAGGGGCGCAGCCTGGATGGAGAGCAGGAAGTCACAGGGATGTGGCAGGTCGTGGGGGGTGGGGGGAGCTTTGGGGAGACCTGTGCAAAGCTGAACACCTGGAGGTCAGCCTTGGCCCTGCGGAGGAGCAACCCTGAGGGGGAGGTCTCTGATGGCACCAGTCAGGAAAGAGCTGGGGTCCAGGCCACTCGGCCCCCTCTGGCTCTGCGGCCAGGCCTGTTTCACTGCTGCCCTGAGCATCCGTTTCCTCATGTGTGAAATGCAGAAAATAAAACCCACCCTGTGCTCCATGGGTCCTGAGCGAGACCCTGGGATGAAAGACTCCAGCTGGTGGTGTCCTCACTCTTCCAGCCTGGCAGAGCCGCTGCTGAGACAGAGGAGGCAGGAGCGCTCTGGGGCCTTGGGGCCCTGCACGGAGGTCAGCAGGTCACCCCGTGAGAGGAGCCCCTGAGGTGCTCGCAGCTCCACAGCCCTGCCATAGGCATCCCTGCACGAAACACCAGGGACTGAAGGTGAGTCCCCACCCCCAGGACCAGGCCTGGGGTACAGGGGGAGGAACTGGGAGTTGCCTGACAAAGGACACCACACATCTCCCTCACATTCAAATTGTGCAATAATTCCAGATTTACAGAGAGTTGCAAAGACTGTAGAGTTCCATACCCTCTCTCCAGCACCCCCTAATGTGAACCTCTTGCAAGGTCATGTCCAACTAGGATGTTGACTCTGGTAGGCTGCCATTAACTGAAGAACTGGCTTGGTTTCATTTCATTGGTTCTTCTAATGTCCTTTTTCTGTCCCAGGATCTGCATGGCATGTGTTGGTCATTTCTCCTTTTTTTTTTTTTTAAAGATTTATTTATGCATCCAAGAGCTGGGGTACAGACCAGAGATGCGGTGAGGGAGGGGTGGTGGTGAGAGGATTCACCAGAGAGAGTGGAGGGAAGCAGGCAGACTGACTGAGATACACTGCTGAGGGCAGCAGGCTGGCCAGGAGAGGTCTGCAACAAGAGGGTCAGCTCCTTGGCGGGGATTGAACTTAGGCCACAGTGGTTGCGGAGAGCTCCACAGTGCTGAGATTTAACCCCTTGCACCACCAAGAGGTAACAGCTTCTAGACTCTACTGGTCTTCTGTAACCTTGATATATTTGAAGAGCACAGAACAGATATTTCATCAGGTTGTCTTCTGTTCAAATCACGCTTTCTTGTGATAAGGCTGAGCATAGGTAATGTGCCCGGTCGGTGCCCATCCTGGGTACCTGGGTTCACTATCTTGTTACCTGTAACCGACCCTGACCACCTAAGGTGCTGTGTGCCAGGAGGTTCCACCGCCAAATTATTTTTGGTCTTTGTAAGTCGTAACTACACAGAAGTATGGACGAGATACTTTGAGATTAGGCAAACATCTGATTTGTCCTTAAACATTTACCAGTGGATCTTGCCTGTGGCAATTAATATAATCTAATATCCTGATAGGATATTAGGGGTTTTCTAGTTCCTTTATTCTGTCTTCACATATTAACTGAAATTCTTCTATAAGGGAGTTTGTCTTCTCCATTCATTTATGGGTGGGACCGTGCCAGGCTGGGTGTCTCACTGTGGACTCAGGGATACTCATTTGCCTTACGTTTTGGGTAGTCAGCCAACACGATCACTCTTTGCTCTGCTGTTCAACTTGTAGCCTTAGCCACACCACTACTGTGATATCCGAGACTGGAGAAAACAACAAAGCCATCCAGCCCGTGTTCAAGGTCACGTACAGCAAACACATGCCCAGCCAGAGGCAGCCCCCCTTTTATCCAGTATTATGTCAGGAAAACCTGAAAGACAAGAGCATCTCAGACTTTGAAAGATCATCAGCATTACAGGCATCAGAACTCCTCGGCATGATGCTAATGTTTAGTATCTCTGTGCAGGAAAAATGAAGCTGCTGATGAAATAAAAGCAGAAGAGAAGAAGACGAGATGCAAAACGGCTAAGAAGCAGAAGTCGAAAGTAATTACCGGCTTCACGGCAGGCCCATTAGATTGGAGAATTTCCTAAGCCGAAAGGCCAGGTTTGGCACAGGCCTGTTGGAAATTAAAGAGAAACAAGAGAAGCAGAATGAGCAGGCAGAACTTATTAAGTGGGAAACAGTGATTTGAAACAGATCACGATCTTGGCGCATCTGATACCCAGTAGCCGGGGAAGCTGCCAGGCCCTGCGGTGGGTGGGACGGTGCCAGGCAGGGCGTCAGCCCGAGGGGAGGCTGAGGGCCGCTGTGTCTGCCGCCCAGCCAGGGGCGCGGCTGGCCTGTGTGCGGAGTCTCTGCGGCCCCAGCCCTAAAGCTGCACAAAGAGGGTTTACACTTCCTGTTCTTTTTTTCTCAGCAAAAAAACAAAAATTCAGGAGAATATTTTCCTGATGATTTTCATCACTAAACTTAATGAATGGACCTTAAAACTTCAAAAAGAAGGACACATTACTAAGGACTTCCAGCCTGTGCCAATTCTGCCATGTGACAGATACTCTGTGGGGCACGACACAGGGGACAGGCTGGAGGGCCCTGGGGTTGGCGTGCGGGGCCACCTGGCTACACCCAAAGCTTCACCAGATCGGTGTCATTATTTTTTTTTTTTAATTTTTTATTTGTGCATACAGAACTGGGGTGCAGGCCAGAGGCTCAGGGGCGGTGAGAGGCTTGTGGGGAACAGAACAGGCAGATCGACGAAGTACACTGCTGAGGGGAGCAGCGGGCGGGTCAGGAGAGGTCTGCCACGCCATGTGGTCACCTCCGGGGCAGGCGGGAATCGAACTCATGCAGAAGCGGCTTTAGATTCTCAGTGCTGTGCTTTAACCCGCTGCGCCATCAGGGAGGGCCCGGTGTCATTCTTCTTAAAGTGTTCTTTTAAAGTGTGATCCTTCATAATTCCTTGAAGGTTTAGAATATTCCGTAATACATTTGTGCTTTTCTTTTTTATGGAGGAGTGGTGTACATGTGGTAAGGTGTACAAATCTTCATTGTCCCTGGTGGTGAATATTTTTCCTTAAATATTTTACTTATTTATGCATACAGAACTGGGGTTCAGGCCAGAGATGCAGGAGGGTTGGGAGGATTCACCAGAGACTGAGTGGGGAGCAGATCAGGCTGACCGATGAAATACGCTGCTGAGCAGCGGGCGGGCCAGGAGAGGTCTGCCGCGCCATGTGGGTCACCTCCAGGGTGGGGATCGAACTCATGCTGCAGTAGCTGGTGATAGTTTGCGAATGCCATGTCTTTCACCCCTGCACCACCAGAGAGGCCCACGGTGATGAATTCTGCCATGTCTACACCAGTGTAATAACCAGTCAGATCAACAGGTGGCATTTCAAACTCTCTGAGCCTCCTCATGCCCCTTCACAGCCCACACTCCCCCACCCACCAGGAAATAGCCACCATTTCCACCTCACCACACATCCCTTGTGCTTGGGGCCCGGGTTCCGTGGCTCACACCTTCCTTCCTGTGTGTAGCAATGGCCCAGCTTTCCTGCCTGCTGTGTAGCTCTTTGAATGTGGACCACAGTCTGTCCCAACTCTTTCTTTGTATTTATTCAGATTATTTTTATTGAGCTACAATGACAAATGATACTCATGTCAGGTGTGCATC